TGCAATGTCTGAACTGTCTCGCACTGTCTAGTCTGCTAGCGGAAGCGTCCGAAATACAGAAATACATGCATACATATCCGAAAATACATGATCATAAATACTAGGACATAAAATGTGCGTAAAAATGTCCAAGACTCTCATGACCACGCTTTGCCACATCTATGCTCACCCGGCACGCTCGACTCCGTCTCCTGAAAGACACAATGGGGGCGTGAGCAAACCACTATGCTCCACAAAGACCAGTACTGAATAAAACAGCATGTATAATATCGTATCATGAACATAAATATATAAGAGCTGAATCTGTAAACTTACTTTTCTTGCTTTACTATGGTCAAAAGACCCTCGGCCCTTGGCCGCTCGTGTGCACACCCCGATGGGATATTAAGGCCCTTGGCCTCCACCGGGTCTCCAGATGGGATATTAAGGCCCTCGGCCTCCACCGGGAGAAACTAACTGTCTCGAACATACCTCTGCCATGGTACCAATATTATATATGATGTGGAACCAGTACATGACCCCCACCTGGTATACTGAAAATATCTGATTCAAGTGCTTGAAACTGAAGTAGCTGTCGGAGGCTCGACTCTCCTTAAGCTATATAAACATATAAGAAACATTCACTTAATCTAACTCAGCTCATATAGGTTATAATAGTACACGTTTTAAAAAGTAACTCTATTTCCGAAAATAAAACAAGAGTTTTCAAAACCTAACCCTCGTAGCGATTTTAAAGTCAACATAACTTACAACACACTTGTCATATAATCATGATTTCAGTTGCATTTTAACCCTAAGACATGCATCTACAATTCTTATGAAGACATTGAAAACAAATAAGGTCATTTGGCAAGCGATAATACAACAAACATTCATAACCGAGTTGCAGCCCACAATTGAAATCATACAGCTGACAGGACTTCAGTAATTGTAGGATAAATGAAGCTACAAACATGCTTTTAGTGATATTCAAAAACCACATAGAAGCTAACTCAAATATCTACAGCTTTTCTTCAGACCACATTGGCAAATAACAATGCTCTCAATGACTTTAAGCATGAAATATTTGGTTCATGAAATCTGTCAGAAACAAATTTATGTCACAACAGCACCTCAGTATTTAGACTCTAATTCACACTATAGACCTCCTATAAGTATTAACCCTACCTTATTAGAAAGCTAAGGGATAGACCTATAACTTTCATAAAGATCATCGTTGCGTTTGAGCACATTAAGACATGATAAAAAGGTCATACATTTAATATAACATGCTGCCGGTTCACAAAAAAACTGCTTGCACCATCTATTTGTAAAATTCTGCCGGTTCACAAAAAAACTGCTTGCACCATCTATTTGTAAAATTCATAACTCATTCAATTCTTAAGATAAAATTATGAAAATTGGTATGCAGCCTCTTTACTCATATATAAACATTTCCATAAAATTTTATAATTTTATTCTAAGTAGAACTCGAGTTATTCGCGTTTGAAGTTGCAGCTGAATTCGTGCATGTAAAGTTCAACTTGCATGTCTAATTTTAAAAATCAATAACCCGAGTTATACTAGGCTAATAGACTTGATTCTTGATCTTATGAACTCCTCGTTTACACAAGAAACAGCCATATAAAGCATAGTTTCCCAAGTTTTTCATATCATAGCCAAAAATGCAAGCAAACAACACATAAGAAACACTCATGCGAGCTGGGACAACTTTAACTTTTTGCATGCTTATAACTACTTAAAAACTGAACATGTATGGCACATATATATAATTCTACTCCTTATCTCATCTATATTATAATTCGAGAAAGATTTGAGCACACCAACCTCTTAATCTTCAAAAAAAGGCAAAAGAAGTCGGGTATACTCGAATGTTGTCTTCCTCTTCTTGCTCTCGACTTTGAGCTTAATCTCTTCGACTTTTCTTGAACTTGAAGCCTCAAGACACTTCTATTGGGAGTTTAGAATGAAGTAAAAGTGATATTATGTTTGTGGTATTGAGGGTTTATCATTAGAACTCCAAATTACTCTCAAACATGCACTCGGGATTTTGAGAACTTCCCTCTTGGCTTTTGTAGTTTGCTCTCGGTTCTCTCTATTTTGGAGGAGTTATGCTCGAATTCTCTCCACCACTTTGCTAAGAACTCTCTCAGTATTCAATGAGGAGTCAAAGGAGCTATGGTGAGGCTTTAAAGAGATTAGTTGGGCGTGAGAAAATATGTGGAAGAGTGGAAACAAATGTGTGACAAAAACTTGTGGTGTCATTTCCTATGCATGAGTGGGAATCTTGTTCATCTTTTGGCATGATTTTGAGTGCATGAGGAGCACTAAGGGCTGACAACATATCCTGGCCAAGCACTCAAGGCAAAAAGGGGAACATGGTCTTACATGAAGAATAAACAATTCATGCCCATGCTTGATTTGGAGTTTAAGAAGTTAATGAGTGTTTGACTTCTCTAATGAATCTTAAAGCTTAACTAGGCATATTAAATCCTTAATCCTCAGCCTAAACTCACTCCTAAAACCAAAGTTTGATGAAAATATGGTAAGTGATTGTCTAGGGCTCGGTACATCAGCACGAGCGAACGTGCGACTATGGCGCCCGATTAGGGTTCGACGCGAGAAAATTGAAGATTCAGCTCGAACGAAAGATTTCGAACATATTAACCGAATAATCTAACATATATACAAGATAATCAAGCTTTTAAACATAAAATTTCACATAACCATGCAATACACTTAATCAAACAACTCGGAAACTGAAAAACTACCGGCTTCACTTTATAGTCGAGCAAGTGAAACCGTTCTGATTTGTTAACTGATCGGGGCGTTACAACCTATCCTCCTTAAAATATTTCCGTCCTCGGAAATACAAAACTAGGGTACTAGGTCAGAACTCCTACTACGAACTATATACAAAAGCATAAGATAAAAGTACACAAGGTACAACTGATACAACTCAAAACTCAAAATCAGGATATCGAGCTCTGATCTCGGCCTCTCTCTCCCAAGTGGCTTCCGACTCGTCATGGCGACTTCAACAAACTTTGACGAGCTCTATATCTCTGTTTCTCATCCGTCGAACCTTTCGGTCCAGAACTGCTACCGGCCGCTCATCATACGTCAGGTTTTGCCCGACCTCTAGCTCGTCAAAGTTCACTACATGGCTCGGGTCGTACACATACTTTCTCAACATCGACACATGGAAAACATTATGTACACCCGAGAGTTTTGGGGGTAACGCCAGACGGTAGTCTGTTATGCCAACTCGTTCGACAATATCGAATGGCCCTATGAATCGGGGCTGCAGCTTCCCCCTCTTCCCAAAGCGTACAACGCCTTTCATTGGCGTGACCTTCAGAAACACTTTGTCTCCCTGCTCAAACTCAAGCTCCCTTCTACGCTTTTTAGCGTAGGCTTTCTGTCGGCTTTGGGCCTCTCTCAGCTTCGCTCGGATCTCGGCTACCTTCTGCACCGTGTCCTCGATCAATTTGGGACCGAGAATCTGTTTCTCGCCAACTTCATCCCAGTAAAGGGGTGAGCGGCACTTACGACCGTACAAAGCTTCAAATGGTGCCATCTTGATCGACGAGTGATAGCTGTTATTGTAGGCAAACTCCACATTGGGTAACAACTCCTCCCACGAACCACCCCGCTCTAGAACACAAGCTCGAAGCATGTCCTCAAGCGTCTGAATGGTTCGTTCCGACTGACCGTCGGTTTGCGGATGGTAAGCGGAGCTAAACTTCAACTTCGTCCCCATGTACTCGTTAAGACTCTTCCAAAAATGGCCAGTAAATCGAGGATCTCTATCTGATATAATCTCGGCAGGAACGCCGTGAAGTCGAACGATTCCTTGGAGATACGTCTCGGCTAGCTGCTCCATGGACATGTCCATCCTGACAGGCATAAAGTGGGCCGACTTCGTCAGTCGATCCACTACTACCCATACCGCGTCGTGACGCTTGGCCGACACCGGTAATCCCGTGACAAAATCCATGGTCAACTTCTCCCACTTCCACTGCGGGATCTCTAAAGGCTGTAAGAGACCCGGTGGAACCTTGTGCTCCGCTTTCACCTGCTGGCAAATCAAGCACTTCTCAACAAACTCGGCGATGTCTCGCTTCATTCCATTCCACCAAAATGACCCTTTCAAGTCGTGATACATTTTGGTGCTACCGAGGTGTGCCAAGTATGGTGCACTATGCGCCTCCGTTAAGATCTCTTTCTTCAGGGCCTCGACATTCGGCACAACGATCCTTCCTTTGAACTCCAGGGCACCATCTGTGCCTCGATAAAATCCCTCTACTCCTCCGGCATTAATTTTCGCCCCCATCGAGCGAACGAACTCGTCGAAGGCTTGATCCCTCCGTATCCTATCTCGTAGCATGGGCCACATTCTCATCGCTCGAATACCTCCCACAACTGGTAACTTAGGAGGTGATTCGACCACTTCTAGCTGCATCTGAGCAAACTCATGAATCAACTGACGCTGTTGAGTGATCATACAAGTCAGTTCACCCTTTCCCTTCCGGCTGAGGGTATCGGCAACTACGTTCGCCTTGCCAGGATGATAGTTAATGGTGTAGTCATAATCCTTCACTAGCTCCAACCATCGCCGTTGGCGCATGTTGAGCTCCTTCTGCGTGAAGATATACTGTAGGCTCTTGTGGTCTGTGTAAATCTCGCAGTGGCCTCCATACAGATAATGCCTCCAAATCTTCAGAGCGTGAACCACTGCAGCCAACTCAAGATCGTGAGTCGGGTAGTTCATCTCGTGCGGCTTTAGCTGACGGGAAGCATAAGCCACAACCCTGCCGTCTTGCATCAAAACACAGCCTAAACCCTGCTTCGAAGCATCACTATAGATAGTGAAACCCTGTGTGGGGTCCGGAATAGTCAACACGGGTGTCGTCGTAAGCCTCACTTTGAGCTCCTGGAAGCTCGACTCACAACGACTATCCTACTCAAACTTTACCGATTTCCTCGTCAAACGGGACAAGGGTAGGGCAATCTTCGAAAACCCCTCGATGAAACGTCTATAATATCCTGCCAAACCGAGAAAACTCTGAACCTCGGTGGCATTTCTTGGTTTTGACCAGTTTCGAACTGCTTCAATCTTGCTTGGGTCTACCTCAATTCCTCTAGATGTGACGATATGGCCTAGGAAAGCCACTCGATTGAGCCAAAATTCGCACTTTGAGAACTTGGTGTATAACTTCTCACGCCGAAGAGTCTCCAAAACGGTTCTCAAGTGCTCCTCATGCTGCTCCGGGCTACTGGAATAGACCAAAATGTCATCAATGAAGACGATGACAAACTGGTCCAAAAATGGATGGAAGACACGGTTCATGAGATCCATGAATACCGCTAGCGCATTGCTTAAACAAAACGGCATCACAACAAACTCATAATGACCGTATCTAGTTCGGAAAGCGGTCTTGGCCACGTCGGCCTCTCTGATTTTTAGCTGATGGTAACCAGAGCGGAGATCGATTTTGGAAAATACACTGGCTCCCCTCAATCTGCAGTTCGGCGCAAGCCATCTTATACGCCTCAGAAATAGCCATAATACGAAAGATCCGCTCCATTTTGTGGATCCACTCGGCCACGGCTAGCGGGCCATTCTCCCCAGAGAAACGGGGCGGATCATAGGTACGAAACCGACTGACCACAACATCCTGGTCCTACTCGACTGCGACTTGAGGATCTCTGCGTGGCGGCATTCTGGAGATCCAAAAGTACTTGAATTGATCAGTATAGCCAATTAAGAAATAGCCATACTAGACTTGAGATAATAAAATAAACAATAAAGTCCGAAAACACCTAGCTTGGCTAGAGTTCTGGTATACTTAAACTTTCTATGTTCTGGCTCAAAATGGAGTTCTGACTTAGTCTAGAGTCCTTGGACTTAGCTGTTCTAGAGTTCTGTCTAGAGTTCTGCCTCTAGAGTAATCTGTCTTACAGGAGGATAGTTATCTAGGCCCCATACTTAAACTGAATTTAGCATTTGCAAAACTTAAACTGAGTCAGGTGACTTACCTCGGAGTCGGTGCGGGATGAGCGTGGCGTGTTCATGCTTTTCTAACTTTGAAAGTATACAGAAACGCACTCTGCGCTCTGATACCAGCTTCTGTCACACCCCGCCTTACTAGCTTTAAAAATCAGAGTAAAATTTTTTGCTTTTATTTTCGAAAGGTCGTGCGAGCTTGGTTTTCGAAAATACTAACTGATTGCGGGATGTAACAGATAAAAACTTACTTAACTTGCTCACAGACATATATAACACGCAACCAAACTATCCGTTACGGATAATGGAATTAAACATGCAATGTCTGAACTGTCTTGCACTGTCTAGTCTGCTAGCGGAAGCGTCCGAAATACAGAAATACATGCATACATATCCGAAAATACATGATCATAAATACTAGGACATAAAATGTGCGTAAAAATGTCCAAGACTCTCATGACCACGCTTTGCCACATCTATGCTCACTCGGCACGCTCGACTCCGTCTCCTGAAAAACACAATGGGGGCGTGAGCAAACCACTATGCTCTGCAAAGACCAGTACTGAATAAAACAGCATGTATAATAACGTATCATGAACATAAATATATAAGAGCTGAATCTGTAAACTTTCTTTTCTTGCTTTGCTATGGTCAAAAGACCCTCGGCCCTTGGCCGCTCGTGTGCACACCCCGATGGGATATTAAGACCCTTGGCCTCCACCGGGTCTTCACATGGAATATTAAGGCCCTCGGCCTCTACCGGGAGAAACTAACTGTCTCGAACATACCTCTGCCATGGTACCAATATTATATATGATGTGGAACCAGTACATGACCCCCACCTGGTATACTGAAAATATCTGTTGCAAGTGCTTGAAACTGATGTAGTTGTCGGAGGCTCGACTCTCCTTAAGCTATATAAACATATAAGAAACATTCACTTAATCTAACTCAACTCATATAGGCTATAATAGTACACGTTTTAAAAAGTAACTCTATTTCCAAAAATAAAACAAGAGTTTTCAAAACCTAACCCTCGTAGCGATTTTAAAGTCAACATAACTTACAACACACATGTCATATAATCATGATTTCAGTTGCATTTTAACCCTAAGACATGCATCTACAATTCTTATGAAGACATTGAAAACAAATAAGGTCATTTGGCAAGCGATAATTCAAAGAAAATTCATAACCGAGTTGCAGCCCACAATTGAAATCATACAGCTGACAGGACTTCAGTAATTGTAGGATAAATGAAGCTACAAACATGCTTTTAGTGATATTCAAAAACCACATAGAAGCTAACTCAAATATCTACAACTTTTCTTCAGACCACATTGGCAAATAACAATGCTCTCAATGACTTTAAGCATGAAATATTTGGTTCATGAAATCTGTCAGAAACAAATTTATGTCACAACAGCACCTCAGTATTTAGACTCTAATTCACACTATAGACCTCCTATAAGTATTAACCCTACCTTATTAGAAAGCTAAGGGATAGACCTATAACTGTCATAAAGATCATCTTTGCGTTTGAGCACATTAAGATATGATAAAAAGGTCATACATTTAATATAACATGCTGCCGGTTCACAAAAAAACTGCTTGCACCATCTATTTGTAAAATTCATAACTCACTCAATTCTTAAGATAAAATTATGAAAATTGGTATTCAGCCTCTTTACTCATATATAAACATTTTCATAAAATTTCATAATTTTATTCTAAGTAGAACTCGAGTTATTCGCGTTTGAAGTTGCAGCTGAATTCGTGCATGTAAAGTTCAACTTGCATGTCTAACTTTAAAAATCAATAACCCGAGTTATACTAGGCTAATTGACTTGATTCTTGATCTTATGAACTCCTCTTTTACACAAGAAACAGCCATATAAAGCATAGTTTCCCAAGTTTTTCATATCATAGCCAAAAATGCAAGCAAACAACACATAAAAAACACTCATGCGAGCTGGGACAACATTAACTTTTTGCATGCTTATAACTACTTAAAAACTGAACATGTATGGCACATATATATATAATTCTACTCCTTATCTCATCTATATTATAATTCTAGAAAGATTTGAGCAGACCAACCTCTTAATATTCAAGAAAAGGCAAAAGAAGTCGGGTATACTCGAATGTTGTCTTCCTCTTCTTGCTCTCGACTTTGAGCTTAATCTCTTCGACTTTTCTTGAACTTGAAGCCTCAAGACACTTCTATTGGGAGTTTAGAATGAATTAAAAGTGATATTATGTTGGTGGTATTGAGGGTTTATCACTAGAACTCCAAATTACTCTCAAACATGCACTCGGGATTTTGAGAACTTCCCTCTTGGCTTTTGTAGTTTGCTCTCGGTTCTCTCTATTTTGGAGGAGTTATGCTCGAATTCTCTCCACCACTTTGCTAAGAACTCTCTCAGTATTAAATGAGGAGTCAAAGGAGCTATGGTGAGGCTTTAAAGAGATTAGTTGGGCGTGAGAAAATATGTGGAAGAGTGGAAACAAATGTGTGACAAAAACTTGTGGTGTCATTTCCTATGCATGAGTGGGAATCTTGTTCATCTTTTGGCATGATTTTCAGTGCATGAGGAGCACTAAGGGCTGACAACATATCCTGGCCAAGCACTCAAGGCCAAAAGGGGAACATGGTCTTACATGAAGAATAAACAATTCATGCCCATGCTTGATTTGGAGTTTAAGAAGTTAATGAGTGTTTGACTTCTCTAATGAATCTTAAAGCTTAACTAGGCATATTAAATCCTTAATCCTCAGCCTAAACTCACTCCTAAAACCAAAGTTTGATGAAAATATGGTAAGTGATTGTCTAGGGCTCGGTACATCAGCACGAGCGAACGTGCGACTATGGCGCCCGACTAGGGTTCGACGCGAGAAAATTGAAGATTCAGCTCCAACGAAAGATTTCGAACATATTAACCGAATAATCTAACATACATACATGATAATCAAGCTTTTAAACATAAAATTTCACATAACCATGCAATAATAACACTTAATCAAACAACTCGGAAACTGAAAAACTACCGGCTTCACTTTATAGTCGAGCAAGTGAAATCGTTCTGATTTGTTAACTGATCGGGGCGTTACACGCAGACCTCGAACTGTTGTTCCCTCCTCTTCTTCCTGGCATAGAATCTCTGTCGTTCTTGGGCTGCCCTGATTCTCACTCGGATCTCATCTACCTGAGCTGTTGTCTTCTTAATAATCTCTGGCCCAAGTACCTTCCTCTCGCCAACCTCATCCCAATACAAGGGTACACGACACTTCCTTTCGTACAAAGCCTCATACGGTGACATGCCGATCGATGCCTAATAACTGTTGTTGTAGGCAAACTCGACTAATGTCAATGAATCCTCCCATGAACCTCCTCGATCCAGAATGCACGCCCTCAGAAGGTCCTCTAATGTCCGGATCGTGCGCTCTGACTGTCCGTCTGTCTGGGGGTGATAGGCTGTACTGAATTTCAACCCTGTCCCCATAGCCTGATGCAAGCTCCTCCAAAACTGCGAGGTGAACCGTGTGTCTCGGTCGGAAATGATCGAAACGGGCACCCCATGGAGTCAGACAATCTCATCTATGTAGAGTTTGGCGAACTTTTCCATAGACATCTTCATATGCACGGGCAGAAAATGGGCACATTTGGTCAAAGTATCAACCACAACCCAAATGGCATCATGCCCCTCTCGAGTCCTCGGCAAACCCACCACGAAATCCATCGTGATGTCCTCTCACTTCCACATAGGGATCTCAAGCGACTTAGTCAAGCCAGCTGGCTTCTGATGCTCGGCTTTGACCCTTTGACACACTAAACATCTGTCCACGTACTTTGCCACATCTCTCTTCAATCCTCTCCACCAGAAATACCTCTTAAGGTCCTTGTACATCTTTGTACTGCCTGGATGGACGGTATACGGGGCATTGTGTGCCTCCTCGAGAATCCCCCTCCGAATCTCTAACACCTTTGGAACACATAATCTCAGCTCGAAGACCAATGCTCCGTCAGGTGTCTCTGCGAATCCTCCTATCTTGCCGGCTCGAGATAACTCTCGCATCCGACAAAGGAAACGATCACTCGACTGAGCGGCTACTATCTTCTCTCATAGAGTCAGTCCCATAACCAGTGCTGCTATAGTACCACTGGCTCCAGAAGTCGGCTCCACCTCCTCTAACTCTAGCCGCTCGAACTCTCTAACCAACTCCTTCTGCTGGGTGAGAATACAGGCCAACTCGCCATGGCCCTTCCGACTAAGGGCATCTGCGACCACATTAGCTTTCCCAGGATGGTAGCTAATCGTGCAATCGTAGTCTTTGACGAGCTCTAGCCACCTCCTCTGTCTCATATTCAACTCCTTCTGTGTGAAGAGATACTTCAGACTCTTGTGGTCCGTGAAAATCTCGCACTTCCCTCCGTAAAGGTAATGCCTCCAAATCTTCAATGCGTGAACCACAGCTGCTAACTCTAGGTCGTGGGTAGGATAGTTCAGTTCATGAGGCTTCAACTGCCTCGAAGCATAAGCCACAACCTTCCCCTGCTGCATTAACACACAACCCAAGCCCATCTTTGAAGCGTCGCTGTAGATAGTGAACTCCAAAGTCGGGTCGGGTATGGTCAATACCGGTGCAGTAGTGAGCCTCGTCTTCAACTCCTGGAAGCTCGCCTCACACTGGGGACTCCACACAAATCTGGTTGACTTCTTAGCCAGCTGGGTCAATGGTTGAGCTATTTTCGAGAAGCCCTCTATAAAGCGACGGTAATAGCCAGCTAGTCCCAAGAAACTGCAAATATCACTCGCATTCCTTGGAACCTCCCAGTTACTCACCGCCTCAATCTTACTCGGATCAACCTCTATCCCCTTAGCGTGACAATGTGTCCGAGAAAGGCAACTCGGTCCAACCAGAACTCACACTTCGAAAACTTGGCATACAGCCACTCTCGACGAAGTGTCTCTAGAACTGTACGCAGATGCTGCTCGTGCTGCTCCTCGTCTCGAGAATATATCAGAATGTCATCAATAAAGACAATGACAAACCGATCAAGGTAGGGGTGGAACACTCGATTCATGAGGTCCATGAAGACGGCTGGGGCATTGCTCAATCCGAAGGGCATGACCACAAACTCGTAATGGCCATACCGAGTTCGAAACGCGGTCTTAGAAACATCGGACTCCTTTATCTTTAGCTGATGGTAGCCAGACCTCAAATCTATCTTCGAGAATATGCTGGCACCCCTCAACTAATCAAACAGGTCCTCGATCCTGGGCAATGGGTACTTGTTCTTCACGGTGACTCGGTTGAGCTCTCGGTAGTCGATGCACATCCTCATCGACCCATCCTTCTTCTTCACAAAAAGGACTGGTGCTCCCCACGGTGAAACACTCGGTCGCACAAAACCGAGCTTTAACAGCTCCTGAATCTGTATCTTCAGCTCCTGCAGCTCCTTCGGAGCCATACGGTAAGGTGCCTTTGACACAGGGCCCGCTCCCGGAATCAAGTCAATCGAGAACTCGACCTGTCTGTCTGGTGGTCCTCCTGGTAGCTCGTTCGGAAACACCTCCAGGTACTCACGCACAATAGAAACTCCATCCGGAGTCAACTTCTGGGTCTCGCTCACAACAATGTTCACTAGATAACCCTGGCTACCCTCCTTTTTAAGGCTCTTCATAGCTCTCAAAGTAGAGATAACCCTCGGAACTGTCCTCGATCTTGCCCCATAGAAAGTGATGGTTTCGCCTCCTCCAAGATGAAGTGTCACCTCTCAGTCGAGGCAACGAATGTCTACTCGGTATCTGCTCAGCCAATCCATCCTAAGTATCACGTTGAAGTCACGCATCTCGATCACGTAAGCATCGACGGTCAAGGTTCTCCCGCCTATACTAAGACTCAGACCCTTAACGAGAGAATCAGTGACTATTGACTTTCCCGAGGCCAAGCTAACCTCGAGAGCATCAACAACACTAACTCCCTCAATCCCGACAGCCTCAACACAACTCTTGGAGATAAAAGAGTGGGTTACCCCGGTATCACATAAAGCAAACACAGGCACATCAAATATATGAAGCATCCCAGACATAGTACCTTGGTTCGCATCTGCCTCACGCTGGTTCAGGGCAAACACACGGGCTCTCCCTCCTCCTCCCTGGATCTGGGCCTGCTGCTGAAACTGCTGCTGAGGTTGTTGTTGGGGCTGCTGCTGCCCCTGGCCTCTCTCCGGGCAATCAAAGGCCATGTGTCCCTCCTTCCTGCAGTAGTAGCAAATCCTCTGACCAGCTAAGCACTGTCCCCCGTGAGTCTGGCCGCAGTTGCCACAGGGTGGCCGAGCTCTCGGAGTCTGCTGTGCTGGCTGACGGTCACCTCGTCGACCATTTTCTCCCTTCTTGTTCTGCTGGTTCTTCTTCTTGCCTTCAAACTTTCTCTTACCGCCACTACCAGACGGCTGGGCAGAAGACTGCTGGTAAACGGCTGGCTGCACCTGGACTGGCTGAAACGATGGTGGATGCACAGAAACTGGCTGAATCATCCTGGGCTGAGCCACTGTCTGCTAAGCTGTGTCTAACTCCAGACGCTGACTAGCCGCTATCTGCTGAGCTCTCAGAATGGTCTCTGCATAGGTCAGAGACCCATGGCTACTCAGCACAAAGCGAAGGTCCCTCTGCAGCCCGTTCAGGAAACGACGGCACTTCTTAAAGTCAGTGTCCACCATGTGCGGGGCAAAGTGGCTCAGTCTGGTAAATTCACGCTCATACTCCTCTACGGATAGGTTTCCCTGATGCAGGGCATAGAACTGCCTCTCCATCTGCTCCCAGGTCATAGCATCTCTCTCGGCTGTAGTCTTAAGGCGCCAAACATCTGACCACCATCTACCCGCATCCCCTATCATCTGGAAGCGGGCACAGACAATCTTCTCCTGGTCTGAGTAGTTAAGGACCTCAAAGATCCTCTCGAGGTTCATGAACCAGTCATCAACTGCTTGTGGCCCGTCTGCCCCGGTGAAAGTTGGCGGGGACAGAACACGAAACTGACCCATGATCTGAACATGGTTCTGCCCCTGATTAGGAGGGGGTTGCTGGAAGACAGGGGGATGCTGATGAGGTGGGGGCTGCTGAAAGATCGGCGGCTGCAGCTGATTAAGGGGGTCTGGCTGCTGGTCGCCGCCCCTACCTCCTCGGCTTGCTCGTCCCCCTCGTCCGGCTCTACCCCTGCCTCTTCCTCTGGTTGCCATAAGCTGGCAGAAATAGAGGAAACTTGAATTTAACGAAGGAGATCTAACTGGAGTTATAAGAATTTGCTAGGAGAATGTTCTAGGCCCCTAATCTAACTTATAATTATGCAAATCACAGAAATGCACAACTTAGACATCTCGAATACTTAACTACTAAACTTACCTCGAAGCTGGAGCGGCACGGCAGAGGCGGGTGGTCATATACATACTCAAACTGGAGGATTATGAAAAATTTTCTAACTTTGAAAACTTTGCAAGTCTACAGAACCATAGACCCGCTTTGATACCACACTGTAACGCCCACTTTTGATTTAAAGAAAATAGTAATATTTTCAAGAAAATTTAAACTTTTTAAAAATCTGAAAACCCTTTTTATTGGGTCGTTACTCATAAAATTCTTTCTTTTCTCAAAACTCTAACTCTCAAATTGACTGGAGACATGCAATAACTCAAAAATGCATTAAGTCTCAAAATACTAAATTTCATAATCCTCAAATCAAACATGCAATCATCTTAAAAATCCAATGTCTCGACATGGGAAATGTAATACTGAACATAACTGCAATGTCTGAAATAAATAACTGAATAGAAATAAACTGATGACCACACTGCCCTGCCTCCAGTGCCGCCAATCCAGCTGCTTAACCTGAAAGGTTGGTGTGGGGGGGTGAGCATAATAATAATCAACGGGCTTACCTGGAGTCTATATAATACGGACATTCGAATTAAACAAAAGATACCGTCGTAAGCAGATATAATACACAAACCATGGTTTCAAAAAGAGTTCTAGCAACCAAAGCAGTACTAAGGTGCAGCTGAAAAATTCTAGCAACCATCGGAGTACTGCCCCTCAGGTGCACTGGTTGTCTACTTAGCCCTTCGGAGTACTGCTCTTCGGGGGACTAGCTAGCATGCGACATATCTGATCTGGGAACAACTACAAAAATAGCTGTTCATACCGTACGTGATCAATCGTCCGGTATATAACTGAAAAACTGGAAACACATAATTCATGCAAATAACGACAAACAAAAATATCACAATGTTTAATCAAAATGATGTACTAGATAGACTTCCCCACCTGGATAACTTGGGTCTGCTACTGAGATGAGTTGTCGCTTATGTGGAAACTCGAGGGCTCGACTCCTCGGAATCTACTTGAATTAAGCGATACTCGAATAAATAACTAATTCTGGTTTGGTAAATTAAATTTACCAATTGAAGGATTTTCTAGCTTAAGGTTCATGACTTATAGACTTTATGCTCTTTCTTAGATGATGGAACTCTCGACTCGGAATCTTTAAAAATTCTCGAAATTAATTCTTTAAAAATCTATAATTAGCCTCGACTCAAAAATCATCTTAAATCTCGGGACATTTTAAAAAAAAAAAAAGGGCTTTTGAAACTATTAAAATTTGGTTCGGGCTTGACACGGGCTCGGGCACAGTTCTGGTACGGGACGCGGGGAGAGTGTCGAGTGGGTGATGGGCTGCGGGAGGATACCTAGGCACGGACGGGCTGTTGACAACACGGGGCCGCGCAGGCTACTGACACGCGGGCCTCGCGGCACGCGATGTACACGGCAAGCGTACGTCCCACCTGTGTACGGGCGCACCTGCGAGCTCGCGGCAGCAGTTCTGGCAACACCCGGCCGTTGTGGCCCGGCACTGAACTTCGGCTTATCCCAACAACTACCTCGACCTTTACGGCACCTCTTACGACCAATACAAAAACCTTTTTAGGAGTTCACCATCCGTTTTTAAAACATGATACAAACGGTTTGATTTTTAAATTAAATAAACACATTTGCAAATATCACTACAGTAAATGAATTGCTTTTAATCTCTAATGAAGGCATACAAAACTCTTTATTATCAGGCCTAAAGAAAAGAACACAACAGAGATTTAATATGCTGTAAACTCAAAACTAAAAACCTTCTCAAATCTCCGTTTCGAAAACAAATACAGGAACTCAAACAAAGCAATAGGTTTTGATTTTGTTTAATAGCACTTGAATGCAAATTAAGATAAAATTCTCTCCAGCAACACGGATCACATTTCACCACTAACTCAAACTTCCCTTCACATTTTCGAAATAGATAAAGGAGTTTAACTGTCATTTTGCATGATCTCACAAATCTTAGAAAATAACTGCTGCAACACAATTAAACTTATATTTTGCTTAATCTCACTAAAAGGCAAAATAAAATAAAATGACTCCATCTACTTACACATAAATTCATGAGTTCGAAGCAAAATATTAAGAATACAAGAGTTGCACATCAATTCTTACTGCTTTAAGAATTCATGAATATCTAAATTACACAATTCTCATTTCATGAATTCAAACTCATTTAAAACTCGTGAACCTTAAGCATGGTAAAATCTTAAACTTTAAATCTGAAATTAAAGAGACGTATACCTCCTGGGAATGAAACGGAAATGAAAAACTAAAAACGAAGAGTCTCGGACGTCCGGTTTCGGCCTCGGCTCTTACGACGGCTATCCGCTATGCTGATCGAACGAACGGGGATGCTCGAACGGGATTGCTGCAGTTACGCACAAAAGCGGGGACTGCTTTTGCTGTTCGCCGCTGAACGAAGGCCGACGGGGTGCCGCTGCTATTCGGGCCGCTGAACGGAGGCCGACGGGGGTGCCGCTGGAAAGTGCCGACGAGGTTAAAGGCTGCGATTTGATGATATGACAGAGGCGATGATATAAATTGCTGAGGTGATGTTGCGGTTGAGAAAATTGAGTTTGGAAGGAAGAAAATAATTCTGAATTGTTTATGGGGCGTGAAAATGAATTCTGTTCTGAGAGTTTGATCGAAGAGTTAAAGGAAGAAACAAGATAATGTCTGTTGCTTGATGTGGAGAGATATGCGTGACACGAGAGCTAAAAACCAGCTCCTAAGGCTGACTAAGTCCCGCAAGAACTATCCAACTATGCTAAGAAATATTTTGATTTCAATCCAAAAAGTTTGGTCCCGCAAAAATTTGATTCTTAGCCTCTCAAAGTTAAAACAAGATGCTAGAGGATTATTTGTTTTTAACAAATAATATTGGTGTTATATAAAATCACAAGGGACGGCTCGACGGATCAAAGGACCGAATGAAAATCGGTTTATAAGGCCGGAAAACAAAATAATAAGGCTAACAATTAGCTCTCTCTCTATACTGAAAAATTCTAATACTCGGCTAAACTCTAGAATTTAATTAGACGAAAAGGTCTAAATAAATTATTTATTTGAAATGATTAAATAGACACTCACGTCTAATTAGTCAAATCTACTCGTCGAGCTGATAAAATAAAATGCCATAAAAATGTATAATATAATAATAATTCGAGATGTCTACTAAAATAAAATCGGGGCGCTACACTATCAGACCAATACAAAAAAACAGCCCCCTTTCGATTCAATTACTATTTAGTTTTTTATAAGTTGTAGGGTAATTCGGGTATCTTTTTGGCTATGTTCAATTTTTCAATTTATTTAGTTTTTTATAAGTTGCAGGGTAATTCGGGTATCTTCTTGGCTACGTTCAATTTTTCAATTTTCGCATTTGGTGCAGTTCTGTACACACCTAGTAACCATCTCCCAAGTAGAAATAGTTGCTTACGGATAATTTTGTAACAATTTAATTTAAGTACTTTTAGTAATTGTAGAAGCAATAACAGTTTACTTTTCCTGCATATCTTATCTGAATCTCTCTCAAATAAGACCATCTTTATCAATGCCACTGGGGGCGGTGGCGTGGGAAGAAGACAAAAAAAAAAAAAAAAAAAAA